AGGTCTATACTAGCCACTGTGTTGCAAAGGAAGCCCCTCCATAACAACCAGGGAGTGATTGCCACTAGTGGCTCAAGACTTGAAATTAAGGTTGAGCTAGAAACCTCGAAGCAGTTCCCGGGTGGTGCAAACAGTTAACGTGCATAACTGCTAACCAGAGGTTGGCAGCTCGAACCCACCCAGAGGCATCACAAGACAAAAGTCTTGATAATCTACTTCTGAAAAACCAGCCATTAAAAACTCCATGGAGCACAGTTCTACTCAGAAATACATGGGGTTGCCATGAGTTGGATTCAACTTGGGGGCAACTGGTTGAGGAACCATTTACTATCGTCAAAGCTCAATGTTCATTGGCTGTGAGAAACCACACATAGGTCCCAGGCTTTGCTACTTCAAAGCAACTCAAGCACTGGAGCAGGGACCAGAGCAGGAGAGCTGCTTGGTTCCAAGCACCAGAGCTGTCTGGCTATCTGATAAAAGTGCAAGGAGCGAGGTTGGGCAGCATTCACAGTACATGTGTGACCCTAGAACAGCCTCCTGAGATGGTGCCTCTCCTGCTCAGGCGTGGATCACTGACCCTCTGTGTGGTCCAGTCTACCTGACCTAAGTGGTTCATCTCTTCACTATCCCAGACACAAACCATTCACCTCTGAATGAAAGGAGCCCCAGTCGTGCAGTGGTTGAGCACTGGCTGCCAACCAAGAGGCAGACAGTACGAATTCATCAGTCACTCTGCAGGGGAAAGATGTGTCAGTCTGCTTTCATAACATTCCAGCTTATGGAGCAATTCTACTCTGTCCTGTGCGGTCACTATGAGTCAAAATTGACTTGATGGCAACAGGTTTAGGATTTTTTTTTATATACTTCTGAATGTTTGCACAGATTGCATCTCTCTCCCATTAAGCTTGGATCTACTCATTTTCAAAATGCCACGTAAACTTCTCCTCCTGGAAGCCTTCCCAGATTAACCCCACCAAACTCCAGTTACCTCTTTAACTCTCCTTTCCTTGTACACCAGTATAGAGAATTTTAATTAAATTAAATAAGACACTGGCCATTCAACAAGAAATGGCTAGACCTGACTGTTGGCATAAAACGATACACTTAGCCCTGAGGAGAAATACAAGAGAAATTCAAATATAGGAGAAAAGCCATTCTTGGACCATATAGAATTTACAAGACAGAATATGATTCAGGATATTGCTGAGGGATTGTTGTTAGGTGTCATTGAGTCAGTTCTGACTCATAGTGACCCTATGTACAGCAGAAGAAAACACTGTCCAGTCCTGCACCAATCTCACAATCCTTGCTATATTTGAGTCTATTGTTGTAGCCACTGTGTCAATCCATCTTATTGAGGGTCTTTCTCTTTTTCCCTGTCTACTTTACTAAGCATGATGTCCTTCTCCTGGGATTGGTCCCTCCTGATAACATATCCAAAGTGTGTAAAATGAAGTCTTGCCATCTTCCCTTCTAAGGACCATTCTGGTTGTACTTAGTCCGAGACAGATATGCTAAAGGATACAGAGAAAAATCAGAGGGGTGATTGCTGTGAGACCAGAAGGCTGCATGGAGGAAGAATCAGGTAGACTTTGGGAGGTGGGTTGGTGTGAGCCAGGCAGAAAGGTAGGGAAAAGGCTTCCCTAACAGAGGGACCTGAGTATACAAAGAGGCAGGAGGCAGGAATGGCCAGGCATATTCAGAACCAGCCTGTCTAGGGAGGAGGAACTGCTGGGGCCGTTCCTGAGCCAGGCAGCTCAGGTCCAAAGCGCGGCTTTCAGAACAGAATCTGGCATGCAGGATAGATGGGAGCTGACTGTCAGCAGCCCTCATTGTTCCTCATTGCCCACCACACTGGCTACAAGACTTCATATACACTGAGTGTTCAATCATTCCCGGGGAAGGCTGACTTGGGCCTCCAAGCTCCCAAATAATTGGAATTTAGAGTCAGCACAAAACAAAATAAATAAATAAATATATAAACAGTTAAAAAAAAAAAAAGCACCAGCCTGCTTGTTTCCTCTCCCCCTCCTTTTCCTCAGCCTTCACTTGTCTCTCCCAGCACAAGCAGAGTGAGGAGCCTCGCTTCTGAGAGCTTTGCCTGCTGGGACAGAATATCCATCTCAGACACACTGCAAGCCAAGACAGGGTGTGTGAGCATGGTGAACTCCTCCTGGGCCTGAACTCTCTCTGCCCCAGCTAAAATGCTTCCTCTCCACCTATGAAGTTATAAGAGTCCTCCCCCCATCCAGTTTCACTTCCCCTTCTCCAGGGAATAAACACTTGCTATTGAGTTGACTGTGACTCATGGTGACCCCATGTGTGTCAGTGTAAAACTGTACTCTATAAGGTTTTCAAGACTGATTTTTCAGAAGTTGATTCTCAGGCCTTTCATTGGTGGTAGAATTCTTGCCTTCCATGTGGGACAGCCAGGTTCGATTCCTGGCTGATGCACCTTACGCACACCCACCACCTGTCTGTCAGTGGTGGCTTGTATTTGCTATGAGGGCAAAAAAGTTTCTGCAGAGTTTCCAGATGAAAATGGACGTGGGGTCACTGTGAGTGAGGGGCCAACTTGACGGCAGCTCACAACAGCATCCAGGAACCCTCCCCTGGCTGTCATAACTCTCAGGCATCTTATAAGCTCCCACAGTACATAGTGTTGCTAGCGGTTCAAACCCACCAGCCACTCCTCAGAAGGAAGGTTGGGCAATCCTACTTCCGTAGTGATACTGCCTCAGAAACCCAAGGAGGGGTCGCTATGAGTTGGGGCCGACTCAACGGCACATAACAACAACAACAACAACAACAACAAAGCTACCGCATGGATAATTCTTATCTCTGTAATTAGATTGTAAACTTCTGTAGGTTAAAGAGCCTGTCTTCCATCCCAGCCCAACCCCCTCTCCAGAGCCTGGCACAGGGCTCTGCTGAGGAGGAGCAGATGGAGGACGCTTATAATGATACTGATTGAAGATGAAGAGGATGACAATGACTTGTCTAGTGCTGTTTGGATGATCTGCCTGTGTCTGAAGCTAGGCTGGGGACATGAGAATGAAGATAGGGTAAGGAAAGCCACAGAGTCCTAGGATCCTGAAAGCTGGCATTCAGGTGCGTGGCATCTTAGGCCCAGACTTACTCTGGGACTGAAGCCCCCCTCATGCGTGGAGCTGATGGCACAGGGAGGGAGGCAGGAACTCTGATGAGGAGCACAGGAGGCCTCAAAGGCCGAGTTGAGAGCTCTGCAGTCTGCAGCCCCTGGCCCTCACTTCTCCCTCTCTGTGAACCCCTCTTCCCTGGCCTCAGCCTCACTGTGGGAAGGACTGACTGAGCTGCTTTCTCTACCTGTCACCATAATGACACCATTGCCTTAGGAGGCTACAAGAGCCACACCAGATGTAAACTTCAGAGTGATTTATAGATCAGAGCTTCTGGGCTTGGGGCCGGCGCACAGCTGCTGTTCTGGCCCGCCCCGTCTGCTGGCCCCACAGCTTGTGCTGTTCTTGAGGATGACAATTCAGGAAAGTGAACTGGGAGGAGGCATTGGGGTACATGACTGGACTGGTCAGAGTCAGCACTAGCTATGAGAATTGGGTGTCCCAGAGACCCTCCTTTATTTAGAAAAGGATTCCTACCCTTTTCTCACTAGAGTCTGACTGTCCCTGTTTACCTTCTCACAAATTCAGCACAGAGATATTGAATATTTATTGGCAAAAAGAGAGGCTACGGATTGAATGGGGTCACCACTGCTCCAAAGATATGGTAAGAAATATTGAGAGAGCTAGTTACCACTCAAGATACCAGGTCTAAGGCCACCAGAGCTTGGTGGAAATGCCCCTGCTGGGCTCTCAGCTATCCAGGTACACCAGCTACATCTGCAGGGTGCAATTCCATAGCTTCCTCCACACCCACCAAGAAGGGCTCTGGGTGTGCCCTCTCTAATTCTCTTTGCCAAACTTTGTCCTCCCTTGTCTTAAAATCTCCTTGAGCTTCATTCAGCTCCTTAAAACCTTCTCTGGCCAATTTTAGTTGATTGTAAACAGCCTAACATCTCCTCCCTGATGTGCAGGTTAGCCAGGTCTCCTTTCAGGCCTGCTTCCCTCATCTCCCAGACTCAACTGCGAAAACAATTCCCAAGAGAAGGGATACAGTTGTGGGATAGTCATTAGTGTTGTTCATTAAGTATCTCTAGTTCTTCTGGGAATGTGGTAAGATTACTTTGCCCTGCACCCTTGATGTTAGGAGTTGCCATGTTCTTGCTTTGAATAGTGAAATGTGAGTGAAAGTGGCATGTGTCACTTCTGTGTGGAAGCTTTAAGAAATAGTGAATGATTTGCCATGTCCTCTTCCTCCACATGCTGTAACTATGGGAGCCCATGCCAAGATAAAGTCATTGCCAACTGTGATCCCTGAGTAACAAGGTAGAGTAGAGCCCCCAGCTAAGGTGCAAAGCACATGTGACATGAATGAGAAATATACCTTTATTGTCTTAAATCATTAGACTCCTAGGATTTGTTATTACTGCAGCATAACTTGAGTCATCCTGATTAATAATATAGTCTGTTCTTGACTGCTTATTCTAAACTCCTAATACACACTAATGTCCTCAGTAGATTCTGCTGAGTCAGTCTGCAGGCCTGTTCCAATCTTTATCCATGATCAAAGAGACATATAATGTTATTTTATAGGTGGTAAACCTGAGACCTAGCAGGTAAAGAGAACCACCTCATAATATGTGATCAGAAAAAACAGTAGATGAGAATTCACTTCCCTTTCCACCCACATGGGAGCCCTACTACCTCCCCACACACCAACTTGGAACAGAGTGCAAGGGCTCCCTCAGGATGGGCTGGGCCATTGGGCAGTTTCCAGAGTCTCTTTCATACCCTAAAGGGCAAAGGCCTACTTATCTCTAGAGGGATGAGGAGGTTGGGAACTTGTCCCACCCAACCCAGAACTGCACATCCCCGAGGATAGCTGGGGACCAAGGCTATACTCACACTTGTGGCATACTGGATGTCCTTCCAGATGGAGGTTTCCCGGGACAGGTCGGAGGCCTCAAAGAGGTTGTCCAGGATGACCTCCCCAATCATGTCGTGGCGGGAAAATCGATCGAAGTCAAAGACACTGAGATGCAGCTTGCGGTCAGCCAGCTCCTCATAGGGCACCGGGAAGTGGAAGTTCTCATCGAAGGTGGGGTTCAGGGTCTTGCGGTGCACCCGTGTCTGCAGCTTGCACTTGCGGTCAGGCAGGAGGTAGATCTTGACATAAGGGTCAGAGCTGCCACAAAAGTCCTTGGCAGGGAGGTCGAAGGCCTTCAGAATGCGTACGATCAGGGTCTCACTCTCGTAGTCATAACGTAAGCTGAAGTTGATCTTCCCGCAGCTCTTGGCAGCCTCAGACTTGGCATCATCCCCGTCCACTGACTTCTGCTTGTAGAGCTCAGGCTTGATGCGGCCAATGCTGGTGGGCTGCTCTGCCGCCAGTGGCAGCTCATTGCCATAGTCAACACTGGAAACGTGCATCTGCCGTGGCAGGTGGCGCTTGAAGGAGGTGTGCCTGGGCGTGGGCAGGAGAGAGCAGAGAAAGTGTGGTCAGTACTCAGGGAAAGAGGATGCAGGCAGACACACCACTGGTCGTCCTGGCTCATCCTACCTCTTATGGAGCCTCCTTGTCCTCCCTCTTGTTGACCTCACTTTTCCTCTGCACATGCCCTGTGAATAGGGTTGTTGTGAGGATTGTTGTGGTGTGCCGTCAAGTCAGTTCCACCTCATAGCAACCCTATGGGACAGAGTAGATGTGCCACATATGGTATCCCAGGCTGTAATCTTTATGGTAACAGATCACCAGGTCTTTTCTTTTCTCTTTTTAAAACTTTTTATTGTGATGGGGTGCAGTTTTACAAAACAGATTCGTTTTACATTCAATAATTCATACACGTTTTGTTTTATGACACTAACTACAGTCCCCGCAATGGAACAGCCCTCCTCCCACCTCCTCCCTTCGCTGTGCCCTTCTTACCTATGTGTTCCTGCCTGCCTAGCTTTCTCTCTGTGCAAATGCTGCCCTTCTGATCTCCCATGGTTGACTGTTCTAAGGAGTACATCTCCCTGGTGTAGTTGTTCAGCTCATAGACCTGTCTATTGCTTGGCTGAGAGTTAAGCCATTGGAGTGAGTTCAATTCCAGGCCTGAAAGGTGACTCAGGGCCACAGTCTCAGGGGTCCCACCAGTCTCTTTCCAACCAGTAATCCTGGCATTTCTTTCCTTCTGTGAGTTCAAATCACCGATTTTTCAGTTAGCAGGTGAGTGCTTAACCATTGTGCCACCAGGGCTCTTTGTTGCAAGGATTACATGTCTTAAGACTTGTAAGACACTTGGAATGGTGCCAGGTGTACAGGAAACTCAATACATGTTAAAAAGAAAACTGACTGCCATCGAGTCATTTCTGACTTTCTGAGGCTATAAATCTTTACAGAAGCAGATCACCCAGTCTTCCTTCTGTGCAGCAGCTAGTGGGTTTGAACGCTGACCTTCCAGTTAGCAGTCAAGTGCCTTATCCACTACATCACCAGAGCTCCTCAATACATGTTAGTTATTGTTATTCTTATCATTATTCCTGCTTTTCTGCTACCTGCTTTCTAGGTTTCTTTCCTAGTAGTTGTGTCTCAGCTTCCTTCATCAAACCCTTAGAAGGATCATCCTTTCTTAACTCAGTGTGGCATGATCTTAAGTATCATCAACATCACCATTTCATCACCACCACTACCATTACTTGCTGCCATATCAACTCTGACTCATGGTGGCCCCATGTGTGTCAGGATAGAACTCTGCTCCATAGGGTTTTCAATGATTGATATTTTGGAAGTAGATCACCAGGACTTTCTTCCTAAGCACATCTGGATGGACATGAACCTCCAAGCTTTCAGTTAGCAATTGAGTGGGTTAACCATTTGTACCACCCAGGGGCTTTCATAGTTCACATTTATTGAGTATTTACTATATGCCAGGCACTGGAGTGGTTAAGAGGATGGACTCTTGGGGCCAGAATGTGTAGGTTCATTTTGGTTCTGCCACTTTCTAGATATGTGCCCTTGGGCAAGTTATTTAACCTCTTTGTGCTATAAAATGAGGATAGTAAAAATCGTAATTTCTTATGACTGCTTTGAGGATGAAATGAATTAACACAGATAAAGATACTTAGAACAGGGACTGGTGTATAATATGCAACGTATGTGTCAGCTTTCATTACTACTTAGGTTTTTTTTTTTCTCATTGCCTCCTCACTCCAACCTTAGGAGAGCCGCTAGCCCTATTTTACTATTGAGAAAGATGAGGTTTAGAGAAGGTGAGCAAGTTGCCCAAGGCTGTATGACAAATCCTGTCAGTGCAAACCCTAGCACTTTCATTCCTAACCTCCCCTCTGAAGACCAGCCCTCCTTCCCTCTGGCTGGTCCCCTGGGAGTCTAGGGAGACATTACAGAGGCCCAGGAATCCACCCCTAAGTCTTGAATAAACATAATCCTCACACATACATTCACCCTGTCTTTTAAAAGTATTTCTGAATTTAGGTTTATGTCATTATGTATATGAGTTTTGTTTGTTTGTTTCTTCAGTTAAAGGATATCAAGTATACAATCGTTGTCATGCAAGAACTATATGAAAGGGTTCAGAGGGATTTTCTTTCTCAAAATGCTAATGATCTCTTGCCTTCTTTTCCATGCACTAGAGTAAAGCCACTTGGCTTTACTGACATAATCCCTAAACACACCAGGAACTTTTTGCCTCTGGGCCTTTGTATATTCTCTTTCTTCTGCCTGAAGTCTTTCCTTCCTCACAATACCCTACACAACCCTGCACTCCCCCCCACATCCACCCACATACCAAATGCACAACACATGAACAGCATCCCACCTCAAAGGTATCCCTTTCATGAAGTCTTTCCTGGTGCCCATTTACTAGTTGGCACCCCCTTTTACCTGGTGAAGTATAGCATCTGAATAGTCTCCTATCTAAGTACAAGTGTCATATATCTGGTGTCTAGTCTGCAAAAGCTGGAATCTCATTAACATATGAAATGAATAAGGGAATGTGGACTATGGGGTTTGGGATAGGGAAGGGTCCACCCTCACCTGATAGATGACGCTGGCTCTGTGGTCTGCCGCTGCAGCCGTGTATGACGCATGATATGCTCCTTGACGGACATCTGCACCTCGGCCGGGATATCTGGGGACGTGTGGCTGATCTTCACGGCCGCCTCGAGAAAGCCCAGGGTGCTGGGGTCTTTCAGCTTGTCCGCCATGTTGCCTCTGGAGCTGGGGCTCTGGAGACCCTCCAAGGGAGGGTTAGCAGAAGAGGGACTGGAGGCCTCCTTGCTCCTCCAGGGCATCCAGCACAGCTTCCAAAAGAGAAAGAGAAAAACTGCCACCAGAGCCACGCCACACACAATCACTACCACTGTGAGGAGGCTGACAGAGGTGCCTGCCCTCGGCACGAGCCAGGCAGGAGGCCAACAGAGACAGACAGGAGGGAGAAGCGGGTGAGGGTGTTGGAGGAGGGGGGCACAAGGGAGGGACAAAGACGGAAGAAGAGAAAAGAATGGTCATGAGAAAGCTGCCAGGTCAGAGGGAGAGATGGTTCCTAGGGTTGTCTCTTAATTGTCCACGTAGTGCAACATCTGCAGTATGTGAGCACCTCAGGCTGACTTCTCCAGCCCCACCCCCACCCCAGCTTGGGGAGCACCTGGGCTGTCTCCCCTCCTGCCTGTGCACAGGGAAAGGAAAGGAATTTAAATAGCAGCCTAAGCAAAATGTGCAAATTCCTGAAGCGTTCCACATTTGGATGCTGTTTGAATTTCTATTAGGGCTGTTACTACGGCCAGACTTTTTTTTTGTACACAGCTATCTTCCACCACAGGCTGTGAGACCCTGGGGAGAAGAGACTCCACTAACTCTCCCTTCTCAATTCCTTACCCCATTCCACCCCAGCCAAGCCTAAAGCAGGAGCTCAGTAAGTGTTTATTGAGTTGACTTGGAAGTGAATGAGATAGAGCATAATCTCCTTGAGAGGAGGAATTAGCTCTATACTTCTCCCCTACTCCCAGGACTCTGCACATAGTAGGCTCAATAAACACTTGCATTAAATGGAACTCTATCCCACATGATATGTTTCAAAGTTAAATACAAACAATTCTTATAGCTGTCATCTTTTCCATTCCTGTGGATATTAAAGAGCTTTGTTGAATGCTACAGTTGGTGGTGAGGTGGCAACTCACTGCCCTATCCCAGACCATCCGTGCTCCCATTATCCAAGAAGAGCTGTGAAGGATGCCCCATTTTTGGAGAAATTATTAAGCAGCCCTCTCTCCCCCTTCTTCTTCCCACATATGGGAATGAACCTTTGAACCCAAGGCCTCTTCTTGCTCTGGGTAAAGGGGTTAGAAGGTGCTAAACCAATGGCATACTGGGCAAGATTGCAAAATGGCCCCTTGTAAACAAGCCAAAAGAGTTTGGTTTGGTTTACCTGATGATGGAAATGTTGAGAAATCCCATCATCATCATAACTGATTGCTGGCTTCTCTTGAAAAAGCTGGCCACTTGGTAACTAGATCTATATATACTCCTGCATGCTGGGAAGTGACCACCCTCTTTGCAGGGGTATGTCCTTACCAGCTCTTCTCTCCCCTCCCTTCCCTGACATCTTATGCTCACATTCTGTTACCTGTCTGGCCCCTGCAGCTGTATGAGTTTGCAGCCTCTGGGCTAGCTTGTCCCAGTGCTTTAACCCTCTAAGGATTTAAGATGAGAAATGACCTCAGGTGTACTGAAGCCAGGCTGTCCTTTAACAGACAGGAACAGTGATCCAAAGAAGGGACTTGCCCAGGGACATATGGTCAGTCAGAGGCAGAGACTGGGCCAGGTTCCAGATGTCCACTGCCCAGCTCGGCTCTCTTTCCACTGTCCCAAACTGTTTGTCCCTCACCAAACTGCTGGTGATTATGAAGGCCTATTTTTCATATTTGTATGGCTTAGGGCCTATCAGAGAAACTGGCACATAGGAAGAATGAATGAATGAATGGCAGATAAGAGGGCTATAGTTATCTCTCATCTCAATTAGGTTCAACCAACATTTACTGAGCACTTGTCACTGCTAACCAGAAGGCTGACAGTTCAAACCCACTAGCCACTCCTCAGAAGGAAGCCTGGGCAATCTACTTCCACAGAAATACCACCTTGGAAACCCAAGGAGTGGTCGCTATGAGTCGCGATCACCTCAAAGGCAGTGAGTTTGGTTTTGGTTTTATCACGTGCCAGGTTCTGTGCTAGGCTTGGGCTACAAAGATGCCCAGAGGGAAGCAAGGTACTCTCATAGAACACACTCCCACGGAAAGCTGTCCCATGTCCAGAGAGAGAGAGAACAACAGCCATTCTCTCTGGGGAGCCAGCACTAACTCCCCCACAATGGAATACTTGTATTGATCAGCTACCATCTCCAGAATCTAGGGAAGAAGAGCAGAGAATCTGCAAGTCTTTAGCCACACCCTCCCCAGCCCTCTGCAGAGAGACATTGGAGCCTTTCCCTGGCTAATGAAGCTGGGCCAGTCCTTCATCCAGAGACTGCCAGGGACCAGGAAAGCTGATTGTAAGTAACTTCTAGACTAAAAGTCTCCAAAGTGATGTGCCTGCACCCTAGAGATCACAAGAGAAAACAGCAGCAGACCATTTTAATATTTATTTGTGATCTTAAAAATAAGAATTTGAAATTTTAATATGTACCCTGATCATCATTAAGAGCTGAAATTGACTTGACGGCACCAAACAACAATTATTGAATTTGTCAATTCATTGAAAATTTCTATATCAAAAGTACAAGGGTTTTTTGTTTTGTTTTGTTTTTTTAAATGTATTCACTCATGTAATTCTCCCAAACAAAATAGGTACAACTGTTATCAGACATAGAGACTGAAGCACAGAGGGTTAAATAAATTGCCTGAGTCACACAGCAAATAAATGGTGGAACTAGAATAAAATCCAGCCAATCTGTCTATGCAACAGGATCTGTGTATTTGGGAACAAATATACATCTATCAGAAGTACTTGGTCAAGTTTTTACTTTATTATGATGAGTTCATGATCAAAAATGTTTGTAAACTTTTCTTTAGGCCCTTGCCCCACTGGGGTTCACCCAGAAAGCTACCACAGATACACGTGCCCTTATTCAAGTATCTGGCCATCTCTAGACCATTCACATCTGTTCTCTGTTACAGCTGTTCTGAATGTGTTCTCTGTAATATGAGTCACCTTAAAACAAAAGGTACTTCTAGGGCTCTGCTTTCCCTTGATCATACATCTTACTTGTTCTGGTAATAATTAGAATTTTAATGAGAAGAGGTGGGGAGAATGGGGAGAATCCAGAGAGCATAGAGTGCATTTAAATTTTCAGCCTGACAAAAAAAATGGAATTCAGAATGAAAAGAGAGGTGGGGGAGGGGTGGGCTCAGGGAATCAATTTCTCCTCAGTGTGGGGTGTGGTTGCTATTTTGATTGCTTTTCCACATGACCACCAACCTCCCAACACCCTGTTCCCTCTGATATGTGATTAGGGAAGGCAGAAAGTATGGATTATTGGGAATCAGCATTCAGTGCTCAGTGCTCAATACTGGTTATGTAAGACCAGGAAGCCCTACCTATGCCTGGAGAATCTTCTTCCAGGATTAGGAGAGCTGGGCTTTTGATGTCGTATGGGCAATAAATGAACTGGATCTCAAACACTGAACAGGTTCATCCCCATACGGGATAAAGAGCAGTGAGCAAGACTGGTAAAACTAGACTGAGGTTGTTGGGGGTGATCGTAGAGGATTTAGCCCTTTTAAGATCACTAATATTTGGCCTTGAACTCAGCCAACTGTTTCCTCATATCCTGGTGAAATGTGCATTGAGGCTAGGAAGAGATGTACCTCCTGTGTGCCCTAAAAAAAAAGAAAACAAAACCAGTTGCCATCAAGTCACTTCTGACTCAAGCTACCTCTTGTGTGTCAGAGTAGAGTTATGCTCCATAGGGTTTTCAGTGGCTGATTTTTCAAAAATAGATAGCCAGGCCTTTCTTTCAAGGAGCCTGCGGATGGACTTGAACCTCCAACCTTTAGGTTAGTAGGTGAGCTCCTTAACTGATTGTACTATGAAGGGACCTATGTGGCCTAAGCGTTAAGCAAAAGCTCAAATTATCTAAGAAATGCACCCTTCCCTAAAGCCTGCTGGAATCAACCCACAAGGACACTTTTTTTTTGCCAGGAAAGCACAGGTGCACAAGAAGCCTTTGTTATGGATTGAATTGTGTCCCCTCCAAAATATGTGCCTACTTGGCTAGGCCATGATTCTCAGTATTATGTAATTAGCCTCCATTTTGTGATCTGAGGTGATTATCCTATATGTTGTAAATGTTCACCTTTAGGATGGTAACGAGGCAGGGTTAGAGGCAGGATACAATTTACAGGATTGGCTTGTATCTTGAGTCAATCTCTTTTGAGATATAAAAAAGATTAAATAAGTGAACAGAGATGGAGGGACCTCAGTACCACCAAGAAAGAAGAACTGGGAGCGAAGCATGTCCTTTGGACTTGGGTTTCCTGTGCTGAGAACCTCCTAGACTCATGAAAAGAATGATGCCAAGACACACGGAGATCTCCAAAGGACACCAGACCTACTGAGGTTGAAAGGAGAAAAGGACCTTCTTCCAGAGCTAACAAGGAGAGAAAGTTTTCCCCTAGAGCTGGTGCCCTGAATTCAAACTCAAACCTCCTAAACTGTGAGTGAATATATTTGTTTGCTAAAGCCATCCACTTGTGGTATTTCTGGTATAGCAGCACTAGAGAATTAAGACAACCTTCAGTATCATTTTGCCAATCATGTCTTGTTTGAACCTCTATCCTATAAGGCACGTAGAACTCAGCTACCTTTTTGAGTGATTCAGGCATCTTCACAGTTACTCCATGAACTAGCTTCAGAACAAGAAAGAGGTAAGCCTCCAGTAAGAGAGAAAGTCCTTGGCACAGCACTGAAAAAGGGAAAGCACTTCCTAAGCATTTGTATGCTCTCCTTTTCCTTCTTTATTTCTCCTTTAGCCTGGAGAGAAAGGAGCATCGCCCTGATCAGTCTGGGGTCATTCAAGACCCATTGGCTCTGTGTGACTTTGGAAAGCTCTCTCAGCCTCCATTTCCTCATCTGTAAAATGGAATTGTAATAGTATCTCTCTCATAGGGTCATTGTGAGGTTTAAATGAGACCAAAAGTGTATGAAAAATACTGAGTGACAAGAATGTAGTGAGCAACATAATAAACATTAGCTAATTTTTTGAAACTAGCACATCCACTAGTTTCAGACTTGCTTAGTGAGCAGTATACCTACAAGCCAAGAGCACTACTAAATAGAATTAGCTTTTATTATTATTTTATTTTATTATGATTTAGGTGAAAATTTACAGAG